TTTGAAAAATAAGCCTTGCTGAATGTAAGGAAAAATTCTCTCTTGAAACAAATACATATAGCCATGTGTCAAGGCTCACTGTAGGTTTTTTATCTATCTATCATCTATCTACCATCTATTTATCATCTATTTATATCTATCTAGTTTGCTAGGGCTGCTGTAACAAAATACCACGGGCCTGGTGGTTAAAACAACACAAACTTATTTTCTCATAGTTCTGGAGGCTAGATGTCCAAGAATGAGGTGTTAGTAGAGTTGGTTCTTTCTGAAGGCCATGAAGGAAGGCTCTGATCCAGGTCTCTCTCTGTGGTTGTAGATGGCTGTTGTCTCCCTGTGTCTCATATTGTCTTCCCTCTGCTTCTGTCTGTGTCCAACTACCCTCTTCTTTTAAGAACACCAGTCATATTGAATTAAGGTCCCACATTTATGTCTTCATTTTAACTTTATCTCTTTCAAGACCTCATCTCCAAATATGGTCACATTCTGAGATACTGGGGGTAGGATGTTAATGTATGAATTTTAGCAGGGGACACAATTCAGCTCTTTGCTGGCTCTATCTACTTATCACCTATCTATCTATCTATCTATCTATCATCTATCTGTCTCTCTGTCTATTTTCTACATCTACAGTAACTACAGTGATTTGCAGGACTTAGACCAACATAATTTTTTTTCTTTCTGAGCAGGAGTGCTTTATCACTGACATTTTTTAGAAAGGCCTTTATGTAAAGATAAAAAAGAACAGATCTGATATTTAGGTGGATTTATTATTGCTTTCAAATTCTCTACAGATAGAGTTACCCCTTATTGCCTATACCTGGTAAGGACAACTGCCATCACCCACTCTTGGCATACCACTGCACAACCTGCAGGGACCAACATCCTTAGGATACAGATTAGAGCAGAGGAAGGCAAGGAATGGATCTGAAGACAAACAGGCCATGGACGCCCTCCACCCCGCCCCACCTTGTCCATCCATGTGTGTTACTGCTGTGTTCTCACTTAATCCCAACAACCAGGACTTTTTGAATGCTCTGTTCCATTTTAAGGGGAGTAGGACATATTCTTCTGTTCCTATAGTGTTCTAGCTGTGGGAAACATGGCAAGATTATCTCTTGGCCTGACAGACTAAACACATCACAGAGATGTTTCTTATTTCCCAACACTGTGAGCGCGTGAGGAAAACTGTCAACATCCTTTGTTCCACCTCGGACAGGACACAGATCATTTCTGTCCTTAAATTCTCAAACCCATCTGAGAGTTTGTCATTTCTCTGCATCACACTCCCTAAGAACTGAACTAGGGAGGGTCCATAGGTTTCTTCCCAGGGACACACTGAAATCTAGACCATCTTAACTCTGCTCCTTTTTATTTTACCTTCATCCAAAGAAATAATTGTATAATCTTAAGATTCAGAAAAACCTGATTCTGACTGAGCCATTTTATACTTTGCCTAAATTCTGAGTCTCCTCAGAATTTAGGCTATTCAGACTAAAAAAACAAGAACTGTCTTTAAACTTCTGAGTTCTATTGTTTCATCTCTTCCCTGTGGGAAGAGGAGCTTCATATTAGCTAAAATCTCAAATTACTATACTGACATATATAGTTTCTTGATCATTCCTCAAATATTTATTAAGTCTATACTTAGTATGGCTGACTTCTTGATTTCTCAGTGTTGGTATATGACTTTGGCCAAGTCATACAACCTTGTAATTTTCAGTTCTCTTAGTTAAAATATGTTGATAATGCTCTCTGCACTGTCTACCTTATGTGGTAGCAGCGGAGAGCAAGTGAGCCCAACAAAATATTTTTAAATGTATCAAGATCTTTCTGCAAAAGAAAAGCATTATTAGTGTGCATTTAATTAAATTTGTAACCTACAAAGGGTTAATGTTTTAAAACATTTTAACCATGTGTGGCTAGATAATATTATATTCCCCCCTCTCTCTGGTCCCCATTCCAGAAGGCAGTTAGCAATGCATTTCACTGGTTCTCTAGATAGGGAGTAGATAGCAAAACTGAAAGCAAAATCGCCTAGAGAAGTTTCAGTCTTTATTTATGCATTTTTGCTTCTGAATGCCTAAGCGTCTATGAAATTGTATAATTTTTTTTTTTTTTTTTTTGCGGTACGCGGGCCTCTCACCGTTGTGGCCTCTCCCGTTGCGGAGCACAGGCTCCGGACGCGCAGGCTCAGCGGCCATGGCTCACGGGCCCAGCCGCTCCACTGCATGTGGGATCTTCCCGGACAGGGGCACGAACCCGTGTCCCCTGCACGGGCAGGCGGACTTTCAACCACTGCGCCACCAGGGAAGCCCCTGTATAAAATTTTTGACAATGGAGGAGGAGATTTGTCGAGGTAATATTTTTTTAAAAATTTCTATGGGAGAAGGCAAACTTTGCTTTACCACTGCTTGTAGGCAGCTGGTAACCAAGTCAGGAGGTCAGATTCCTGCCATGACTCTGGGAAATGATGTCATAGGTCATCTGGACACTGGCTGCATTGGTAGTTTTCAAAGTTCCTCTGGCAATTCTATTAATATGCAGCCAGGGTTGAAATCCACCGATCCAAGCAGCTGAGAACAAGAGAGTCTCAAAAAAAGATTGCCAAGCATGACAGAAAATCGACTGATCAGAGAAGCCTAAAGGGACCTTGTGGGCAGGTATAATAGACATCATCTCAGTACATCTTTGGAGTGATGATCATGGATTGATCCCCTGAACCCACCACTCAGCCACTGTTTATCCCTGCAGAAGACCGCCAAAACTGTGTAATACATGGGAAAATACCCAAGAAGTTGAATTTAAGTTGTATTTAAAAAGGAAGATGCATTTCTTCCATACCTGAGTTTGTGGTATGATATTTACATCTACAATGCACCTTGAAATTTGTTGAAAATTATTAATGTTTTTTGTGTGTGTAGAAGGAAAAACAGTGCATCAGAGAGATGGAAGAATTTTTTTTCCAAAGTACACTCTGATTAATGAAAGGGCAAGGAAAAGAATTCTTAGTCCCTAAAACTTTGCCCCATATTCAGTAGCTAATGTTGTCTCTAGTAATTTTATGACTCTACCTAGAGTTACACAATTTTACTCTTTGATTCTCTGACTAGCAGGATATCATGCCTCATTTAGATTCTGGAACCCATCCTGCCATACTAATTACTTCTTCTAGTGAGCCAAAGGGTAAGACAAATGATTCCATGACAACCCTTAAGCATATATCTTGCTTGTCCTGCTGTCTTATGTATTTGCTTGTGTAAGATAAATGACTCCCTTTCAACATGCCCAATATTTTGGTCTTTCTCAATTAAGACTGAAAAATAAAGCAATTTTAGGAAAAATCTATCTAAATTATTGGTTTCCTTATTTTTATTGCTATTATTTGAAGACATTTACATTTATTTGGCCTATATCATTAATGTATTACTAATTTTTAAAATACAGTTTTATATTGCCAAGGGTTTGCCTTATTGAAGTCTTGCTGGTGGTTTGTAGAATGGAATGAGGGTTTGACATTAACATCTAGCCTTCAGTTATCTCTGATTTAATGCTTCAGAGTTATTAGATGATCTTTTGAGGATAGAACTTCATTTTCAAATTAACCCCACAGGGAAATAGACCAACATTATTGAAAATATGTAACTATTTTATTTTATTATTTTATTACAATAAGCATGGACATAAAATAAATATTTGGTGAACAAATTTAATCTCTTCACTGAAATTATATGTTGTAAATGAAATACATCTTTATTATAAAATAAACACAATATTTGAAGAGTTAAAATTTGAAGAGTTAAAATATATAAACATTAATTGGTTCACAAGACACTGGAGATATTCAGAAGCATCCCATAGGGGTGGTCTTGCCCCACAAACACTTGTCTATCCATCTCCCCCAAGCCGCACACTTATGACCCAATATTAGCATGTTACATACATGGGAAGTGAAGAATTGAGAAAATAGTGCATATAATTCAAGCAAAACAAAATGCTTTATCCATACCTATTTATTTATTAGAGAATACAAAAGGAGGTACTTACTCTGGCCTAACTGCCTGAATCATGACCTTGATTCTTCATTTTACTTAGAGTATGTAGACCTGTGCAATGGCTAAAGAATAAAACAAGGAAGAGAAACCAGTCCCTTCAACACCCAAACCTCAATTCCCTAATTGGGACTGTATTTCCTGTTGATGAGAATTGAGAGTTCATAGTATTCTATTGATGTGTCTTATCAAGACAGATAATTCTGTTTGCTTGTAGGTGCACATCATAGGTTCTGAAAGCATATTATTTTTCATTTATAAATTATTTTCATTTGAATATATAATTCAAAGCAAGTTTAACTGTATAAGTTAGATGCTTTAAAATCATCTTCTTAAATCTCCTAACAGAAATCAGAGCTTCCTTCTCCCTAAAAGTGTTTAATTTCTAGTACATTTGAGTTTCCTAAAGGAGAAACAACTCTTTTCACTGAACATTTTCATATTTTGATAAATTCAATTAAAATTACTTATTTGATGTCTATTATTTGCAGCTTGTTTTAAAAAGAAAAAAAGTCATCAATTTAGTTGTTACCATGTTAGTATAAGAAATAATTTGGAGAAAAAATAAATTAGGTTATATTTTAGAATATGTTTTATTGCTAGGGCTTATGAATTAAAACAGAATTCGGATTTCTTAACAGATAATATATGGTTGTGGACAAAAAAAGAGTCTATCATACTAAGGATTATGGACATACTTGATTTTAGATTACACAAATTGGAACGGGGATTATTATTTGAGTCCAGTAATAGTAAATGCATTTAATACACATGAGGTCAGAATGTCTAAAGCAAGTCATTTTTATTCCTATCACAGGTGACTACAATCTATATACCCTTTAAACTTTTCATCTCAATTTAAAAACAGTCATAAAGCAAGTTCTTCTGCCTGATGTACTTAACAGTTTCTGGCAAGACTCTTAACACATTGATCATAACCCACAGTTTGAGTGAAAAGCAGGCGTTAGACGTAACTGGTGGAGGTCTTACTAAGCACTGTCCCGTTCTGTGGCCGCTTATCTGTGTGTGGCGCAGGATGCCCAGCGGCTGGATATCTGTGCTTTTGCTTCTTTATGTTGCAACAGCAGAACCCACAAAGCAGACCCCCTCCGATGAAGAGGACAGCGGTACTTGCCCAGCCAAGGAAGAGTGCCGCTCCCAGCTCTCGTTTCTGACCTATGTGGACGGCTGGGTTGTAGAAATCCCTGATGATGATATTGGCTGTCCAGCACACCGGAATGAGAATGAAGATGCCCGTCAGGATAAAGAGGACTCCAGAAGTCCCCAGAAGATATGTTTTAACCCTCTCGTTAGAGCCTTTGCACTGAATCTTCTTCATGCCGGAGATGCCAATAAGCAGAGCAATCAGAGATAAGGCAACAGCTACACACATGAGGGCGCGGGCTGCTTCCAGGGCAGGTGGGAGAGACAGCAAAGAATTGTAGAACTTGCACTGCAGCCTAACCTTGACTTGTCTGATGCAGTTCATCCAGAGCCCTTCCCAGAGCCTTTCAAAGACAATAATGTTGCTGCCAACAAAAGCTGATACTCTCCACTGAGGCAGAAGTGCTGTGGCCAGAGTCCCCACCATGCCGAAGAACCCAAGAACCAGTCCAGAGATTTGCAGCGGGTTAAATGTCATCGCCTCTGCTTTAAATACGGATCCAATCTGCAAGGAAAGCTGCTCACGTCCCAGAACAGGGAGGCCTCTGTGAGGTTTCAGCGATCTCTGATGATGTTCTCCACTGTTACTGCCCAGAACACTTTAGTCCAAACCGGCAGCAGTGACTGAACGTGGCTTAACTAGAAGTACCTGTTGTACATGCATGCTGCCCTTGTACACTCGCATTCACTTCATACTACGTATGAATTACTTACTAGTCATATATAATTGTTTCTCAGCCAATAAGAACATAGCCAGAGGTGTGCCAAGAAATACTGCATTCAGTGTTAGTATTTCTCATATTACTATTGTCTAAGCAATGCTGTAATTATGTGTCAAAATTTCCACTGTGGATTGCTAATTACAGAGTTGAAAACTTCTTGTCTAAAAATCACTCTGGGGCTTCCCTGGTGGCGTAGTAGTCAAGAGTCCGCCTGCTGATTCAGGGGACACGAGTTTGTGCCCCAGTCCAGGAAGATCCCACGTGCCGCAGACCAGCTGGGCCCGTGAGCCATGGCTGCTGAGCCTGGGCGTCTGGAGCCTATGCTCCCCAACGGGAGAGGCCACAGCAGTGAGAGGCCCATGTACCGAAAAAAAAAAAAAATCACTCTGATATAAAAGTATAAATATATGTGTTAAGCCACCACAGAAGAAAACACCAACACCTTGCCAGTTCTTTGGAGAGCATTTGCAAAACACTTTGAACTTCAGATGACCTATTATTTTCTTCTATTCTAAGCTAGCTCTCTTTAATATGGTTCATGGATCCTGGTTTTAATAATGACTTCTTGAATCAAATAAATGTTCAGGTATTATTTTCAAGAATTCTACTAAAATCACTGATACTTTATGAAAAGAGGCATCCTAAGCAAGACATGCAGATTTCATAGTTTATTTCTAAGATCCAGAAAGCAAGAACAAGGAGAAGCACTTCTTATTATTGAATTTACTGGTAATTATTATGTTATCTGTTGAGTAACACCTTTCTCTCTGGTGAAATAATGTTTAGGTTATAAATGTTCATTAGATGTTTCTTCAAAAGCAGCTTGGATTATATCATATTTATCAAAGTCAAAAATGCATATTCCATTTTTATGGAGCAATATGAAAGTGGCCCTTTGGATTAGATATGTAATTACATAAATCCAGGTAACAAAAATTTTTGGAGATGGCAGGCAGCTTCAAAGTCATCAGGCTTCAGTCTCTCATTTGCTAGATGAGGAATGTGAGGTTTTCAGAGCACCTGGCTAGACTAGCTGCACAGTAACTGATCCAGGAGTAGATATGGTCTCTCACCTATGATGCTTCCCTCCTCTTTCTAGTCTGACTCAAAAACAGGAGGATAGGGGACGAGGGGAAGATGGTGGAAGAGTAAGACGCGGAGATCACCTTCCTCCCCACAGATACACCAGAAATACACCTACACATGGAACGACTCCTACAGAACACCTACTGAACGCTGGCAGAAGACCTCAGACCTCCCAAAAGGCAAGAAACTCCCCCACGTACCTGGGTAGGGCAACAGACGAATAAACAGAGACAAAAGAATAGGGACGGGGCCTGCACCAGTGGGAGAGAGATGTGAAGGAGGAAAGGTTTCCACACACTAGGAAGCCCCTTCATGGGCGGAGACGGCGGGTGGCGGAGGGGGAAAGCTTCAGGGCCACAGAAGAGAGCACAGCAACAGGGGTGCGGATGGCAAAGCAGAGAGATTCCCGCACGGAGGATCGGGGCCGACCGGCACTCACCAGCCCGAGAGGCTTGTCTGCTCACCTGCCAGGGCGGGCTGGGCTGCAAGCTGAGGCTCAGGCTTTGGTCGGAGTGCAGGGAGAGGACTGGGGTTGGCGGCGTGAACACAGCCTGCAGGGGGTTAGTGCACCACGGCTAGCCAGGAGGGAGTCCGGGGAAAAGCCTGGACCTGCCGAAGAGGCAAGAGACTTTCTCTTCCCTCTTTGTTTCCTGGTGCGTGAGGAGAGGGGATTAACAGCGCTGCTTAAAGGAGCTCCAGAGAGGGGCGCAAGCTGCGGCTAAAAGCGCGGACCGCAGAGACGGGCAGGAGACTCTAAGGCTGCTGCTTCCACCATTTGTCCTAAGCTTATATCCATCCATTTTTTTTTCTTTTTAAAATTTTTTTCTTAATAATTATTTTTTTAATTTAATAACTTTATTATATTTTACTTTATCTTCTTTCTTTCTTTCTTTTTTCCTTTCTTCCCTCCTTCCTTCCTTCCTTCCTTCCTTCCTTCCTTCCTTCCTTCCTTCCTTCCTTCCTTCCTTCCTTCCTTCCTTCCTTCCTTCCTTCCTTCCTTCCTTCCTTCCTTCCTTCCTTCCTCCCTCCCTCCCTCCCTCCCTCCCTCCCTCTTTTTCTTTCTTTCTTTCCTTCTTTCCTTCTATCCTTCTTTTCTTCTTTCTTTCTTTCTTTCTTCCTACTTCTACTAATTCTTTCTCTTTACTTTTTCTCCCTTTTATTCTGAGCCGTGTGGATGAAAGGCTCTTGGTGCTGCAGCCAGGAGTCAGTGCTGTGACTCTGAGGTGGGAGAGCCAACTTTGGACACTGGTCCACAAGAGACCTCCCACCTCCACATACACCACCAGATGTGGACCTGCCCACCAGAAAGACAAGATCCAGCCTCATCCACCAGAACACAGGCACTAGTCCCCTCCACCAGGAAGCCTACACAACCCACTGAACCAACCTTAGCCACTGGGGACAGACACCAAAAACAACGGGAACTACGAACCTGCAGCCTGGAAAAAGGAGACCCCAAACACAGTAAGATAAGCAAAATGAGAAGACAGAAAAACACACAGCAGATGAAGGAGCAAGATAAAAACCCACCAGACCTAACAAATGAAGAGGAAATAGGCAGTCTACCTGAAAAAGAATTCAGAATAATGATAGTAAAGATGATCCAAAATCTTGGAAATAAAATAGACAAAATGCAAGAAACATTTAACAAGGACCTATAAGAACTAAAGATGAAACAAACAACGATGAACAACACAATAAATGAAATTAAAAATACTCTAGATGGGATCAGTAGCAGAATAACTGAGGCAGAAGAATGGATAAGTGACCTGGAAGATAAAATAGTGGAAATAACTACTGCAGAGCAGAATAAAGAAAAAAGAATGAAAAGAACTGAGGACCATCTCAGAGACCTCTGGGACAACATTAAATGCACTAATATTCGAATTATGGGGTTCCCAGAAGAAGAGAAAAAGAAAGGGACTGAGAAAATATTTGAAGAGATTATAGTTGAAAACTTCCCTAATATGGGAAAGGAAATAGTAAATCAAGTCCAGGAAGCATAGAGAGTCCCATACAGGATAAATCCAAGGATAAATACACCAAGACACATATTAATCAAACTGTCAAAAATTAAATACAAAGAAAGCATATTAAAAGCAGCAAGGGAAAAACAACAAATAACACATAAAGGAATCCCCATAAGGTTAACAGCTGATCTTTCAGCAGAAACTCTGCAAGCCAGAAGGGAGTTGCAGGACATATAGAAATTGATGAAGAAGAAAAACCTGCAACCAAGATTACACTACCCAGCAAGGATCTCATTCAGATTTGATGGAGAAATTAAAACCTTTACAGACAAGCAAAAGCTGAGAAAGTTCAGCACCACCAAACCAGCTTTACAACAAATGCAAAAGGAACTTGTCTAGGCAAGAAACACAAGAGAAGGAAAAGACCTACAATAACAAAACCAAAACAATTTAGAAAATGGGAATAGGAACATACATATCGATAATTACCTTAAATGTAAGTGGACTAAATGCTCCCACCAAAAGACACAGATTAGCTGCATGGATACAAAAACAAGACCCATATATATATACTGTCTACAAGAGACCAACTTCAGACCTAGAGACACATACAGACTGAAAGTAAGGGGATGGAAAAAGTTATTCCATGCAAATGGAAACCAAAAGAAAGCTGGACTAGCAATTCTCATATCAGACAAAATAGACTTTAAAATAAAGATGATTAGAAGAGACAAAGAAGCACACTACATAATGATCAAGGGATCAATCCAAGAAGAAGATATAACAATTATAAATATTTATGCACCCAACATAGGAGCACCTCAATACATAAGGCAAATACTAACAGCCATAAAAGGGGAAATCGACAGTAACACATTCATAGTAGGGGACTTTAACACCTCACTTTCACCAATGGACAGATCATCCAAAATGAAAATAAATAAGAAAACACAAGCTTTAAATGATACATTAAACAAGATGGACTTAATTGATAGTTATAGGCCACTCCATCCAAAAACAACAGAATACACATTTTTCTGAAGTGCTTATGGAACATTCTCCAGGATAGATCATATCTTGGGTCACAAATCAAGCCTTGGTAAATTTAAGAAAATTAAAATTGTATCAAGTACCTTTTCCGACCACAATGACATGAGACTAGATATCAATTACAGGAAAAGATCTGTAAAAAATACAAACACATGGAGGCTAAACAATACACTACTTAATAACCAAGTGATCACTGAAGAAATAAAAGAGGAAATTAAAAAATACCTAGAAATAAATGACAATGGAGACACGATGACCCAAAACCTATGGGATGCAGCAAAAGCAGTTCTAAGAGGGAAGTTTATAGCAATACAAGCACACTTTAAGAAACAGGAAAAGTCTTGAATAAACAACCTAACCTTGCACCTCAAGCAATTAGAGAAAGAAGAACAAAAACACCCCGAAGTAAGCAGAAGGAAAGAAATCATAAAGACCAGATCAGAAATAAATGAAAAAGAAATGAAGGAAATGAAAGCAAAGATCAATAAAACTAAAAGCTGGTTCTTTGAGAAGATAAACAATATTGGTAAACCATTCCCCAGACTCATCAAGAAGAAAAGAGAGAAGACTCAAATCAATAGAATTAGAAATGAAAAAGGAGAAGTAACAACTGACACTGCAGAAATACAAAAGATCATGAGAGATTACTACAAGCAACGCTATGCCAATAA